TGGCGAGTTTATTTCTCCTTAGGTTGCAGCTCTTGGCGGATCAGCTTTGAGTTTTTAATATACGGCGTTGTGCACCACCTGTGAGACAGTTCCGATGGGACACTGAGTTCATCTCCAGCTTCAGGCTGGAAAATAAAAGATTTTTCCTGCACTGGGTAGGTTCTGTTTTCAATCCGCCGCTTTGCCGGGTTATTATACATCACTGCTTCACTCTGTGAAATGGCCCCAATTGTTGACACAGTTTTCACCAAAACATTGCTTGTATTAATGTACATTTAGAAATGGCTGCTCGGCTTATTAGTTGTGTCAAACTGGGGTTTCTTTTGAGATGTTTTCACTCAGGAGGGATGGTGTTTTTAAAAAGTATTTCCTTTTGTTTCTCTATTTGTTTTTGACAACATGGCAGGTCATTTTTTGTTTGCACAGTTTTGACGCCTTGTAAATGGCATCTATGTGCTAGCTGCATTGGTAAATGATGTCTATGTTCTAGCTGCACTTTCCTAATGTCTATGTTCTAGCTGCACTTTTCTGGTGTCTATGTTCTAGCTGCATTGCTGCATGAATGGATGTGAAAGTGTCAGTGAAGGAAAAATTTTGTTGAAATATGGAAGTGTAAAGTATCTTACTGACCAACAAAAAAAAATCAGTAGCTTTGTTCAGCAGGTTTTCAGATCCGGACATCTCAATCAGACAGCACTGCCACAATCTGATATCACATTTCTCTATAGCAGTTAAAGAATTACAGTTTTGATTTTTTATTGCTGTCTCTGTGGGTAAATTACAAATGTTTTGAGGTTCCTCAGAACAGGTGGTGAGGGATATTTTCCAATGATGTTATGTGTGGTATAGGCACTTATATTTCCACCTGTCTAACGCAGGCATAGATTATGAACTATCTGTGCCATGAGGTTTGTTGTTGCTGTGTTGGGAAACATGGTGGAGGTCTGTTAACCTTAATAATAACCTTCATCCATTCTCAAAGATTTTTGTGCCTCCATTGATGATGCCATATTCAAAGAACTTAGTTAAGCAGCAAACACCCAATACACTTGACTCGTTTGGTGTCAGCAGTATAGAGGTAATCAGTCAGCCAGGGCAACAGCTTAAATGAACATGTTTACAATTAACAGAGGTTATAGTAGCTAGCTAAGATGGTTCAGCAGCCTTATTCTCATGAAGTAGTCATATTGCTTAATTGAAGAACTGTAGTAACACTTGATAAAATTACTTATGATATCAACCAGTGATACAAATAAATCTACTATATATAACAGGTAGTTTATAAAGCATCATATACAGCAAGGTAGATGTTGGACACTAAAGAAGAGCTCTTTTAACGGTCAACTGTATGAACAAGAGTGACAGTAGAGCACCCCTTTACCCCTCACCAGCCTTACCCTGAATCACATACAAGAGTGGATATTTTATCAGTACCAGTTGTATCAGCTTTCATTCTCTACCCTGTACTAGAAAAGTGTTGTGGTTGAAATCTGAATGGATATTATTGGCAACACCTCTGTTTACATTTCTTCCCTGTTTTATAAATCATCCTTAAAAGATTCTGCCAGGCAAGCTTTTAGCACAGTTTGACTGTGGCACATACAACATTCAACAGATTAAAACCCTTTCAACTGTTACACATTGTGCTCATTCTTGAATCAATAAGGCAAATAGGTCCTCCTCTTTTGTCTTTATAATATGAGACAAAATAGCAAGCTATAACCAGGGGTGGGGGATAAGCTATTCTATGAATGTACTAATAAACAATTCTTATTGAATTAAAGTGATATTGAATCTTCTCTCCTCAAACAAGGGACAATACAACATTTCAGGTGTGTCTTCTGAAACCTTAGTTCACACATGTGCCAAATGTGTTGTAATGCTTTGTCAATATCTGTTATCATTGACTACAGAGGTAAAAAGTAACATCTCTAAGAGTGTTTGCCTTCTTTTGTTATAAGAATGCATCCAGGGATTTATGAACACCAGTCTAATGTAAACTAGCAAACCAATCTGGATGCAACTACAAATGATATGACTCAATAAGTGTGCTCTGAGCTCTCGGAGACTCATTAATGAATGATAAGCCACCTTGGCAGCTACTAAAATCTTTGGAGCTTGAACTTTTTCACCCTGTTCCAGCCACACAAAAAACAAGAGCTACCTATCAACAAATTTAGCAAAAACTAATGACAAACTTTTTGTCTGGTCAAAGGACATTTATTTAGATAAAAACAAAACAGGCAGAGAACTAACCTAATATCCACTATGTTAGGGGTGGGTGAGCTCCATGCCTTCATCATACCATGGGGCTTCAGGCTATGTTTATAGGCACATGAAGCATGGTGTGTCTGTAAATGCACCAAAGCACAGGTACTGATGGGCTCAGCTGTAAAGCAGCACTATAGCCTAACCACAGCCATAGCACTGCTTAAAAAACAAGAATATTTATAAAGCACAAAGCAATGCTTTACAAATGTGTTTAACAATTTGCTTGTTTTAGGACCACGGGTTCCTGAATTGATCTTTCCACTATCTTGTTACTACATTGCCTTATGTGACTTGCTTTTACCTACTTAAAAGAGAACTATAGCCGAACCTTTTTTTGCCATAGTTCTCATTAGGGTCACAGGGGGACATATACTATATCCTCCTGTGACCCAAAACCCAGCCTATAGTGGGCTGGTGCCCACTATATGCTGACAGCGCGCTGCAGCTGGGATCGATCCCGACAATATTGTTGGGATCCACCCCGCTGCCTGATTGACAGCTGGCTCTGCCTCCCCCTCCCCGCCCATTCCTCCAGTCAGCGCTGAAAGAACATAGAGGGGAGGGGGGAATCCCTGGAGGCAGCAGTGACTGACAGTCGCCACTCTCTGCAGGGAGAACACTGGGAACTCAGCAACTGGAGGTATGTGATCACTCAGTTCCCAATCAATAGAGCCGACGTGTAACAGCTTCAGTGTCACACGTTGGCTCTAATTATGGGGATGAGTGTATTTCACTCTCCCCATAATTCTCCTTTAACCCTTTTGCCATTCCAAAATTGTGCTGACTTGTGGTGTTTGATGTTCTGATGTTTCTACTTTTTTGGTTTGATGAATCTTATGTAGTACTTTTTGCGTTTTGGCTTGTCTCTGGTTACATTTCTGGCTGTTACATATTAAAATCCTGCTTAGTACTTACCCAGTGCTGCTCCAGTTGTGTCTCTTTTTGTTGCCTGGTACCTCACCTGGCAAACCTCTTGATCCATCCTATTGCCTAATACCTTTGGCACTATCCCCACTGTGGAGTGTTTCCTGTGTTCATCCTGAGCCCCACTCTATGAGGTACAAGAGAAGCCACTTTCACGCTCAGGTAATCAAATTCCACAACAAACTGACAACAGTTGAGGTTACAGTGCCTGTAGGCCAGCCCAGACATCCCACTGTATAACCAAAAACTATAGGTCTCTTCCCAGTTGATATGCTTGGATTTAGTTCCAACTAAAGCCTGTCAAGTAGTATCTCAAAAGATGTCTAATCCCACTTTACAGGATTACAGGTTATATCCATTTGACTTAGACTTTAATAATTAGCATGGTCCTTTGAAAACGTCACTCAACTGCATCTCTCAGCTGATATGTGCAACCATTTATGATAATTGGGTCAAAACAAAAAGCAATAGTGCACATCTTTTCATTGTCATATAGGATTTCTAATATTCTCAAATATATCTGTGACCAATTAACAATTGTCCCCTTTTTCATAGGATGGGACACAACTGTTTTGTGCAGTCCAAACAAGGACAAATTGACCTTTTTTGAAAACCTACCCATTTATTGGTTTGAAAACATTCATTTCTTAACAAGGGGTGTAAAATCTTTAAAGATATTTTTTACTTTGATCATTTGTAATCCTGCAATCTTACAATTGTCATTGAAGCCAAGTTATTTCAGTGTTTGGTGTATGCTGTTGGCTTGAGCCACCCACTGGCTTCTCATATTTCTTAGGAACTCTGCAGTAAGAACTACCTGCTGGTGACCATCTATGCCACAGCTGCACTGCTCCTGTTCTATTCTCAACAATGTGAAATGAACAAGCAGGATTGCACTCTAATAGGCATGGCAGGAGGGTGGAGCTGAGAACACAAGTACAGAAATGTGCTGCCAAGAGTCCTCCAGAAAAAAGATGAAGGTCACTTCAATATCCTAGCATCCACTTAAAGAAATAAATATAGCTAGAGACAATTAAAGTGTAAAGCCAATACATATTTTCTGGGGGATAGAACAGTGAGGAATTAGGAACCCTATTAGGTTTTTATTATTGTTTGTGTCCCCCACTAGGGATACTCAATCTCTCTATTTGTCCTGGTGACCATTGTTACCAGGCCTGAAAGTGAGGTAAATTCTAAATGTTGGGTTGTCACTAGAACACTAATAGAGGGATAATATTTCAATGGGGGCACTAGTTATGGTGATAACTGTCTAAGAGATTTCTACATAACAGGAAATAAGGGGAAATCTTGCTTGAGAAAAAAAAACAGATGGGTTTTAACCATTTCCTACTGTATACAAAGCTAAAATAAGTTTTTGCTTTAGATATACTTTACATCTGTGTCAGTTGCATTATGTATGAGCAGTATTAGATAAGGCACACACACACACAGAAAAAAACCCTACATTTTGTTTTACGCTAACAAAAAGAAATTCTCCGCTATCAAAGAAAAATACTCTAGAAACCATTTGATAAAAAAAAAATAATAATCTAATTCTATCTTTGAAGCGGTTTCATTTATTTTACTACCCACTGTGAGCCTTATCAGAAGGCCAAGTATAAGAAGTTTCCTAGTTTATGATTAGGAAAGAATCTGATAGATTAGAAGACTCAATTGAAGTTGGACATAATAAGTATTACAGTATTACATGACATTAATCCTGCCATTCCATTACTTTCTCAATCATTGTGCACAGACTAATTATTCTGAAGCCAGCGATCAGGAAAAAATAGAAACATACTTACACTGGGCTGCAGTAATCTCTTTATTGCATCAACAAGGCAGGCTCTGTACTGGTCCAGAAACAGGCTGACATTGAGAAGAGAACACATTCTGGATTACAATGGGGGTTTAATGTATTAATGATACAAGAAGACAACTATCAAGCCAATTACACTCATTTACCAGCTATACAAAAGAAGAATTACATAAACATTAGATCCTCTGATATCCAGTGGAATGGGGTTGCCATGCACAATGCAATAACTGCAAGTAGCACATCAGACTTAGCCACATTGCATTGATCGGGCGTGTAGGGGAAAGGAGAAGAAATAAAAAATAAATAACTGGCAATTGTCTCATACTTACTGTAGTACAACTCTCCCCTGTAAACATCAAAGAGTGTCAGTTTTAACAAAAGTGCATACACTTACATTAGTGATTGAGTTCACAGATCTTGTGGTCAGGGGCGTCCCGAGGCCAGGTGTCACCCAGAGCAGATAATCTAATTGACGCCTGCCAGCGGCCACCTTAATGATGGACGCAGGCAGAGAGAGGAGGAGACGTTCACCAGGCGGGATGAGGTATGCCGGGTCCCCTCCTCTATCCTGACACTCTCCATCCATGACCGAGTGCCCGACTTTTTAGAGGGGGTAACACCAAAATGACCGTCAGTCGTGGGTAGCCCCACTGCAAGGGTTAATAAAAAATGTTCCCTGGAGTTCATCTTAGGGTAAACACTAGAGATGCACCGATACTAGTATCGGTGCCGATGCCAAGTATTTGGGCGAGTACTCGTACTCACCCAAATGCTCCGATGCCTAGCCCGATACTTCCTGTATCAGGAAGCTGGGCAGCGCGTCATTACACGCTGCCCGGCTTCCTGATCGGCCGGGAAGCCGGCTCCATGCTCTCTCGTCACAAGTGACGAGAGAGAATGGGGCTG